CTTGAACGCCATTGGCCAGTTTCACTGGCGTGATTCAATAAGGCTTCAGTAGTATTTGAAGGAAAGGGTAATTCCCCATAGCAATGTCTCGTTCCCTCATCTCAGGGAACCGAGGTTACGTGAGTAACCGAGAGCGTTTCCAAATCTCCCATAAACTGTTTTTGTATTTTTGTATGTACTGTATGTATGTATGTATCTATAATACAATGTAATTATTCTGTACTTGTATTATATAATTTAATTAATTAATTATAATAATTTAATTTAATATAATTAAATTATTGTATTATATATGTATGAAATGTATGATATGTAATATGTATTACAGATAGTGGACTTAATTGTTCAATAACGTTAACATATAGACTAAACCAGATAAATTAAAAGTAAAATACATGTTAATTGTTTGAATTATTTTGATTATTTGTACACGAAATAATTAATAGTTAAGCATTAGGCCTATATGAGTCATATTTTCTTATAGGCTATAGTGGGCCTATTTCATAATAATAATAATATAACGCCATGCCAAATCGTCAACAATCAAATCCAGCTAACTGAGTTAGCGACGTACGAAGAACGGGCCCCAGATGTTTTGGCACCCTCTGGTGGATAATAAATAAAACAATAAATTGTCAGACAGTTTCTGAACAAATGATATTCACCTTCATTTAGGATATTCAGTATACAAACGAAACCAGTGCTTGAGATAAATTACAATAATTTATTAAAGCATTTTGTAAAGCCAGTTACAAAAGAAAACATTTTTTTCTCTCTCTCTCAATATGTTAACAAGCACAATTATTCTTTTTTTTTGAGTAAGCAATAATTTACAGTTTTATAACAATGGCAATGAAGAAATTACATTCAGGCCTTGTACTGGCTGCCTGCAGCTGAGCAAAGACCCCAGTGTGAATGTGTGAGAGACAGAACCAACCGTGCTATATCTGTGTGCATGTTTTATGTTGATCTTTGTGTGTGAGCATGTGTGTGTTAATATGTGTGTATGAGGCAAAGTGTAGCACCTGAGACCTCTCGGCTGCTCTGACACCACCTTCTCTTAACGCACACACTTACACACACTCAGTAACATCAACACATACACTGTTTGTTACTTCAACACACCGCCAAATCAAATCTTCTCCACTTATTCATGACAAGTCAACTCTATCCATTTCTTCACAGCGTTGGCAGCCCTTTAATGCTGATCTAAGCCTCCAAAAAATCTGAGATCAGCATGAAAGGGTAAACCTACACCTTAATTTCTCCAATTATCAACAATAACACCATCATAACAGATAAATACACCAAACCCTCACCCACCCCTTCCCATTCTGTTTCATAAATATAATCATAACAATAATAATAGAACTTCCCATACACATAGCTCCCGAAACATCTTCATCATATTCCATCATCATTATCCTTATTTCAATTCATCATTAAATTCAGACATACACGTTCACAAAAAAACACTGACAAATATAGTTGCATATCAAACAGCAAAATTACACAGGTACTGTGGCAGGATTATACTCACATAAAGAAAAACAACAGGCATACTTGGACTTATTCTGTGTTGATCGAGAGTCAGTGGATGATGTTTTTTGGTGTTACGGTCCATTTAAATCTTTGTTATGTCTGCTGTCTGTCATCTCTCTGGCAGCATGGCCACTCTGGTAACAGTCTTAGCAGAGCTCCATCATGACATGAAACACAAAAAGGCTGCTTTGGCAATGATAAAATGCCAGAAACCGAAATAAAAATTCTTAGAAGAGCAAAATCGTAAACTTTAAGAATGTGTCTTAATGTCTGTTTAATATGAGCTGTTTATGGTCATTTGTCAGGCAGTTCTTTTAAAGACAAGATGGTCACTTCACCTGTGGTTTGAGGAAAAAGATATGCAGCTACGTAAGATTAGCCACCAGTTGGTCAAAATGCACTTTAAAGAATCTGAGGCTTTCCCAGGCAAGTAAATGTGTATAATGACCATGCCAGCAAACTACATACATCCTCATAAGATTTATATGCAAAGCCTTTTTTTTAATTCAAAGACCCACTTGTCTTAGCTTGTGCTGGTTTTTCTGTGCAGTCAGATATGATGACATTATACAGTTTAATGAGATTTCAAATGTATGCAAGGACTATATATACCATTCAAAAGTTTGCTGCAAGATACAATACAAAACAGTAATATTGTTTAATATTATTACAATTTAAATGAACGGTTTTCTTTCTTCTTTTTTCAGTGTCACATGATCTGTCAGAAATCATTCTAATATGCTGATTTGGTGCTCAAGGAATTATTATTATCAGGATTATTTGATGAATGGAAAGTTCAGAAGAACAGCATTTATATTAAATAGAAATATTTTATTATAAATGTTTTTACCGTCACCTTTGATCAATTTAATGCATCATTGCTTAAAAGTATTTTTTTTAAATCTTACTGAGCCCAAACTTTTGAATGATAGTTTATGTAAATAAGATCTGTAGCCTTACTGTACATACTGTGGGCCCATAATTTTGCATCAAATGTCAAGCTCTGAGCAGTTTAAGTGCTTTAATCATAGAATAAGTGTAAGTGTTTCACAATTACTGTTACTTATACGTATTGAAACAGTACAAATACATGCTTATTGAATCTTGACTGCTGTTGCCTAATACAGTACTTTTCATTGCTTGCTTTGGGCAGGCAGACCTGGCTCTACTTGCATAACACTTCATAACCATTATCCGAACTCTGTAATAGTGAATAGAGGTGCTTAGGAAACCAAACTGGTCAAAATGGGTATGCTTTTGTGCCTTGGTACAGTTAAAATTACACAAGCTTTGTTTCGCTGGCAAAAATAACCCCAAAAAAAGGAAAACATTGTAATGACTGTAAATACAAATAGTTTAGACAGTATCAAATGTAACACTTCAGCATATGTATTTATAGACTCTGGCATTTAATACAAAATAGGATGTTGCATTGATAATGTGTGAACAGTCTTACAAACGAGTAGACAGTCGCTGCTGATATCCACATACTGCCGGCCCCAGATATACTGCGATCTGATTGGCTGACTGACTCCAGGTGGCCTCTGCTGGTAGATTTTGTAACTACACTTTTGAGGGCACAAAGAAGCAACATATAAATTGCACACATTTCATTATATCATAGCAGATTTTTTATCATGCTGCATGTTCCTTTTGGTGCCATCAGCCAATCAGAGCTGCCATGATGTCATTTTCCTGCGGCTCAAGTCACATGGCATTTATGGCTCAAGGGATTGGCTCAAAAAAACCTGTATGTGAAATTGAGCGGCCATGAGCAAAGGTTGCAGAATTCAAACCGCATACTTCTGGGGTGTCCTGCGCCAGCGGAGCAGCTGCCATTGAGATGAATGGTAATGTTAACGCATAGCTTTCTCCTCCTGCTCTCTCATGGCTTTACAAAATAGCTCTGTATGTGTGTGTGCACAAACTCTGATCTCACACACAAGCACAATATACACACCTCTGTAAAACTACCGGTAAATGGAGTCGTAGGTGGTTGTTGGTTAGGTACAACATCACTGAGGGTAGAGAGAAGGGAATGAAATGGAGAAGAAGAGACAAGGAAATAAATAAGTTTGGTCATCAGTCAGGGTGCTGGCAGTGAGGGGAGGGAACGGTGAGCAGGTTACCAGGCTTTGTTGTGCTTCGTAAAGGTGAAACTGGTCCGATAAATACTAAATAAACATGTGCTGTTGTATTTAGGACAGGTATACAGGGGATTCCAGTAGGTTAAGTTCAATCGTTGGAAGGGTGAAGTCTCTGTTTCTTTTCTGCTCTCATTCTGCAATCAAGAACGGTCAGTAGTATACTTCACTTTCATCACATTGTGTTCCTGGACACTTTGGGCGCTGGTTGGTGTCGATCACCTCATCCAGGCGCTGCTGTTGCTGGTGATGGACATGATACTGCAGCGCTTTTTGACGATCATGTTGATGTATGCCTTCATGATCTTAGTGATTTCACCCACCTTGAAGCACAGAACAAAACAATATGTTATGTTATATATGTTATGATATGTTTATTTAATTTGTGAAGCAGTTTTGGTGAGAACAAGGTGGTCACTTAACTTGTGATTTGAGGGAACAAAAATACAGCTACATAAGACTTGACAGGTTGGGCTTTCACAATGAGTGTAATGTCAATGCCTGCCTGCACACTATATACACTGCAGTTCAGAAGTCTGGGGTCAGTATTTTTTAAATTAATACTTTTATTTAGCAAGGATGCATTATACTGATCAAAGTGACAGTAAAAGCATTTAAAATCTTACAAAAGATTTCTATTTCAAATAAATGCTCTTTCTGATGTACTTTCTATTTATCTAAGAATCCTAAAAAAATTATCAGCACAACTTTTTCAGCATTAATAATAATAAGAATTGTTTTTTTGAGCAGTAAATCAGCATATTAGAATAACTGCTGAAGGATCATATGACACTGAAGACTGGAGTAACGAAAATGCTGAAAGCTCAGCTTTGCATCACAGGAATAAAGTTGAATTCTTAATATATATATACAAATATAAAATAACTATATTAAATTGTAATAATATTTCACAGTATTACTGTTTTTTACTGTATGTTTGATCACATTAATCCAGCCTAAGACTATTCTTTCAAAAACATTTTAAAATCTTGCTGACCCCCAAACTTTTGGACAGTGGTGTACATCCTCAAAAGACAACCATTTAAACAAGCAATTAAACAACATTTTGTCCAACACAGTACTGATAACAGAGGCACAGAAGTGCATTACCTGAGACGTCTCAAAGAACATCTCTCTTTCATCAACAATGATTTTGTATGTGCTGGGTTGAGGTGCTCCGAAGAAAACGATGTGCTCATACTGGAAAGTTTCGAGTGGTTTGGGTTCACCCCGTTTGTACACAGAGACGTTCTCAGCACTGACTCCCAGCCACAGATCATGAGGGAAGCCGCCCTCCTTACACTGCAGACAGAGAAATAAAAACATATATAATTAGTATAAGAGTTTCAAACGTATTGTGACAGGTTTGAAATAACATAGCACTTTAGGGCTTGGCTTAGGGTTACTAATGATAATTATATTGCTATTTTACAAGGCTGTAACCATATATTTATGATAGGAGGTAGTAGCCCTGATACTCTGGACCTGAGGTGGGATTTTAAAAAAATTATAATAGGGATGCTCTCAGCCTTAAAGAAAAGATTTATACCTCCACATCAAACAGTGTGGACCCGTATCCCGGCCACTCTTTGATGATGGTCATGTAGCTGAGCATGGCTTGGTGTTGAGGCATGCCCTGTAGACGGCTCCATTTCTCCAGCACGCTGGTCAGTGTGGCCGACATCTCTTCCTTTACAAACATCTCCAACATCTGTTCCTCCTCCACACGCTGTTTCTTCAGCGATCCCGTCTTGAAGCTGCGTCTCAGCGTCCCGTCTAGGAAGTTGGTCTTCCGGCGTTCTAAAGTGTGACCTCCTGGCCCTACTATACCAGCGCCGGGTACTCCAGCACCCCCTGCTTTAGTGGATTGGAGTATGCGGGTGCGAAGTCGTCCAACAGGGTAGACGCTGCTTAGGCTCCAGGGCGTACGGGCCACGTCACCGTGGATGTACTGCAGTCGCAGGGCTGCTAAGTGCTGGAGGGTTTCCTCAAGGGCTGGGAAATGACCACTGATGAGACTCTCATGAGCCTAAGAGAGATGGTGAAAAAAGAGAAAAATCACTTTCTAACAGAGGTGCTCAAATCAGGGCCCACTGGTCTAAGTTGCCCAATCATGCTATATCACGAAGATAGGGGGAAAACAGATCTTCACTTCTGTTCTATTTATTTATTTTTTATTGTAGAAAATGCTAATGATTTGACAAGTGGTTTGTCTATGTGCTTTAAATGGGTGAATCAATAGAAAAAGTTCTCTATAATGGTTCTACAAAATAGAAATAATTACTTTACCTGCTCAAACATGAAGGCAAATTCCACTCCCTCTTTGGGCATGCTTTCCACATCAAGAAAGCAATAGAGCTTGAAATATAGCCTCCAGGGCCCTTCCTCCTCCTCATCTTCACTACCTGCCAACCTGGAAGAGCAAAGCAGTGCAGATGACCCTCAGTCATAAAGCCAACAGAGATAACATGTACAGAAATATAGGTTTTATAGATGCTATAGACAGTTTTAAATACAGAAATGGAGCAACCATTCATTCAAAATCATCTAATCAACATAGACCATATGAACAGTTCATTACCTCTCAAACTTTGCGAGCACATCTGCCACAATTACACGACTTTCTATGGCCCGACTCGCCACCTTATTGTGCTCAAACAAAGAGAACATATTCCTGCTATTTTCCATTGCCAGACCACGAATCAGCTTCTCAACCACCTTGACAAAGACAAGCACAAAAAAGATGTCACTTTCATCCTAATTGGCAGAACATGCTGTAATTTCATTATACAGTTCAAAGCAGAAATGTTAAAATGATGTTAATAAATTCGATAACATCTCTTTCTCTTCTTCTCACCTCTCCAGCTGTGGTGTGTGAGTTGATGGATATCTTGCAAGACCCTCCTCCATGGCAGTACACAGTAGTTGTCATTTCCTGTCTGTTCAGCAGGGCGGCGATCTCCTCCTGAGAGGGCACATACTCCCTGGTCTTTGTCTTCTTCAGGGACTCACCAATGAAGTGGGCATACTTCTCAATCTCAGTGCCAGGGTAGCGCTCTCTAACTCTGAGAGATTAGTCACAGACAGAGACCCAAAAAACATAGTGTTTGTCAAATGGAAATATAACCATTATTCAACTCCAAGAGGTTATTTAATGAGCATCTCTCTCGGTTACCTCTTCAAGTGGAATCGGAGGTAACGCAGGATGGCGCGACTGGGCAAGAAGGTGCAACTCATGCAGGTGAGCAGGTGCCAGTGTGCACGGTTTGCAGGGCTGTTGGGTTGGGGCACGTGATTGGTCTGTTTGATAAGCTGACAGTACACCTCGTCTCTCAGTGGCCGCAGATCGTGGCAGGTCTGCAGGATGCCCTGGATGATGGCGACAGGGTCTGAAACTATCTCCATTTCCTGAAGAGAGTTAAAGATCTTCACAGCCTCATCCTGCAGGCTTCCATAACCCTTCTCCTTTTGCACTGCAGAAAGAAGGAGAGAGAGATGATTTGCAAAAAAAAAAAAAGATGACGGAAGATGAAAATACAAGAAGCATCTCTGCACAAATAGGAAATAGGTTAACAAATTGAGTGATTTAGCTGATGGACGATACTCACAGCTTTCGCTGACCTCTCCGTATGGTAGTGGCAGAAGAGGTGAATGCAAGGGATGCTGGGTATATCTCAGAATGGGGTTTCTTCGATACATTTGTTCCACAGCCTCAGAGTTCACACTGTTCTCCTACACAAATGTCAGAAAAGGTAAAAGGAAAGGCCAAGATTTATGTACCATTTTTATTAGACAACAGTTTTATCCATTCTAACCTTGAGTGCAAAAAACAGACTTACGTTTTAAAAACTAATTACCTTAATGTCCCTAATGAGTTGCTGGGTGGGTGTTTCAATGGGCACCTTGTTGTCAATGACGCCCTGAACGGCAGACACCCAGCGCATGGCTTCATTCAGCAACTTGGTGTACAGACGGTATGAATGTTTACGCCCATGAATTATGATGTTCCAGTAACCTGCAGTGTAACCAGACATCAGCGTCACCGTGTATCTTAGTTCATAAAAAGAAAAACATCTTCATAATTTCAAAATTAAATAAAATAATTAAAATAAATGCAAAATTAATGACATATAACCAACAAATTAAAAACTTGCATTATAAATAAATCGTTTTTTAGCTTTACAAATACACTCTGTATTTGCTGTCAACAGCAGACTGCAATCAATACAGCAAATGCTTCCCAACAGTTCCAAACAATTATTTTTTGCTTCCTTAATTGTGAACCAAGAATATGAACTATTCAACTATAACGATAACTATATTAGGAAGATAATGTTGTTTATTATAAGCATACACTACATATATGTTGTCTGCCACTTTAAATGCTTGAGCTCTTTAAGTCTGGTGGTTTCTCATTGAGCATCAATGTTTTTTAACATTCATCAGCTGTAAAAAAAAAAAAAATTCTAAAAGTGATTCCAAATATATTTTTCCTCTGTGTTGATATAATTATAGCTATGGTATGGACATTCCTGTTCTGTTCTATTACTTACTCAAGAAGCATAAGTTATACTTTTAATAATATCATACTCACATCATATCACGATCATATCATACTCACCTGTCTCTTTAAACTTTTTCTCCTCAGGCTGGACAACAGAGCACAGTCTGTTCAGAACCAGGGTGCCCATCTTAGATGCATTGCGCTCAGAAGATTTGTAGTAGTCCAGAGAGTTGTTAGTCAAGACAAACCAGCGCTTTTTCAGTTTGAGAGCAGAACCTTTGGCTCCTGCCTTCATCTCCTTGTGCAGCCATCCTGTGTCACAAAAGAACACACAGACACACACAGTTTAAGCAAATTGTGACCAGTTACAGAACCTAAAATATATACTGTCCTATCAATTTGAATCCAAATACTCATGGACATGTTAAATAACTAATCAACCATAAATAAAATTCATTTGGTAACTAAATTCAGGTTACAACGCTGTTAAAGATGAATAACACACCTCTGACCAGGAACTCCTGTCCATCACCCTTGGAGTCTCTTTTGGGTTTCTGCAGCAGACTGATCCAGTGATGCATTTCCTCCGGCAGGTCTGAGTTACAGTGGATCACACGATTGGCTGTGATGATCACAAATGAATTAGGTCTGTTTGGAAGGAAACAGAAGTTGTGTTAGCACCAGATAAATATGGCAACGTTATACACTTTTTTATCTTCAGATATTTAGTTCAAACATTAAAGGTGAAATGTGTAACTTCTGTGCCATTAGCATGACATAAGCATTAAAATATTAATATTTTGATATAGTCAACAAGTGGCTTACTCATAATGGACCCTTTTCATAGACTGTGATGATACATTTCCCCAGTTATTGATGTAAATGTAGCAAAGTATTTTTTAAATTTTCATTTATTTATTTTTTTTCATACATTTAGAACACTGTACTTTGCATTATATTACCTTGTCATTAAATCACAAAAAATTAACACTGCTACATGAAACTATAACAGCTGAGGAAGTGATGGCAAATTTCTCTCTTTTAATCACTGTAATTAACATATCAGTATTTTGTTCTTCTTTTGGAAGATCATAGAAACGCTGTTGTGGATTTTTTATTTTGCTATTGAAGCAAATGGGAATGCAAAATGAAATCATATTGAAACTATAGAAGAAGAAAAAAATAACACAATTCAGCTTCAATTGCTGTAAGTAATTTCAGCAGTTGGTTTTCTTCTTAGTATTCTGTAACAAAGATGATACTCGCCTGTCGGGATTGTCTGAAGCACAAACTGAATCAATCAACCCAACATCCAGTGTGCCCTGAGAGAAAGAGAGCAAAGCCAGTTGTCAAAACTGAAAGGAGGTTTAATGGTGAAAATGCACATAGTGTGAAGACACTAACCACAGCGTTCTTTGGGTTGGCCTGCTCATGGGACATCTCCAGCAGCTGCTCTGGGGTGGCATTTTGGACCCGACTCAAAACGGTAAACCAGCCACTAAGAGAAGGAGAGCAAAAGAAAGCGTGCAGAGTGAGGGAGAGCAGTTTGGTCCAATTACAGAAAACACACAGGCCTAGACATAAAGGTGTCAACATACCTGGCATCCTCCGGTGACTCTGCAAACACCTGGTATGTTCTCTCATCTGTCACAATATTCAGAGCATTCTCTTTCTCATGATTGTCCACAATCTCCCTAAAAACAGGAAAAAACTTGATAAAACCTGATCAATCACTAATCACAAAAAGTGTCTTCCTACCTGACATAGACACCTAATGATACCACAATACTGTTTCCTATTTGTCTCATACTTACTTGGCTGAGTGGATGTCAATTGTCCCTTTCAGCTTTTCCTCACTGTCATTCTCAAAGTACATGAGCTTGGAGTCACGCAGAACGAACCAGCGCATCTTCCAGTTCCTGCGAGAGAGAGTAGATAGGCCGCCGCCCTTCTTGTACAGCCAGCCTGACTTTAACGACTCTTGTTTAGAGCGGAACCACATGAATGTTTCGTCCTTCAGAACACACCAACGCCTGCGCCACGGGATCATCAAGCCAGCTGTGGAAGAGACGCAAGAGACAAAGAAGATTTATACTTTTATACATCATCAGGTCAAGAACAACATTGTCCCAGCTGTTTTATCATTTTTAAGAGATGGCATTTCAATAACATTAAGACAGGGGACCGGGACCCATTAGGGGATCACAGCAAACTTCCAATGGGGCCTCAAGATGTCTTTAAATGGTTTAAAATATGACAAAACAAGCTTTAAAATAAGCCCCAAAAGCTAAAAATCAAGATGTAAACTTGCATCTTACTTCTTATCTTAATTCATTCTCAATGTTAAAAAAAATTTATTTAAGAAACATGATTCTCAAAGTCTTGGTAAACTTGGATATATGAATGATTTCCTGGAAAAGTCATGGAAAGTTTATTAATGAATATAAATTTTACACATTTGGTAGCCGCTTTTATCCAATGTGACTTACATTGCATTTGATGTCTATTGTTTTTAACCAAATTATGCATTCCTTGCAAATCAAACCCATGACTTTGGAATTGTTAATGACATGCTCTATTTTTTATTTAACGTTCTACAATTATGTAATTTGTTTTAATTATTATTAATTATGTTATTATTTTAATATATCGTCTGAAAAGTGTGAAAATGAGCACATTTTGGCCCTTTGAATATTATCTTTCACAATGGGGGCACTGAATTTAAAAAGATTGAGGACCACAGCATTAGGGACTTTATTTCATGTAAACAGATTTTATCTTTGATTTCTTACCCTTCATGTAAAGGTAACTGTGGAAATACGGAGGTCCATTCCCATTCAAGATGTTGACTTTACCGTTGGATACCTCCTCATCTGTGTCCACGTACCCATCATGCTCATCATCGCTGTCAGCATACTGAAAAAGAAACAGAAAGAGTGAATGGTCTGTGTGTGAGTGTGCATACCTACTTAACCATATTTTGGTGACAAATATGTTATGTACTCAGTAGTGAGCTACACCTGACAAAACCTAATTTGAGGGACATCTAGGAATTTTGATCTAGTATTTCGGTCTAGAAGAAGAATAAGTAAGGAAATTGTCTTTCTATGATTACTACAGTTTATACACTATGTGTTTCTTGTATGTGAACCCAACACAAGTTAACTTGAAGGAATAGTACTGTGAATTGTCCCTTTAATGGGTCTACCACTATGAAGATCCAATCTGACACTGTGGGAAGTACATTGTACATGTCCATTTGGACACATTTTTTATGTTTGTGGACGTGTTCTCTGTGTAACTCACCGAATCTGAGCTGCGGTTGTAAGACTCCTGGCTTGCATTGGTGCAGGTGGACTTGCGTGCATGTTCTGTGTCCGTCGCCGCAATGCTGCTCTGTCCGTCCTCTAGATCGTCTTGGTCATAGTCCGACTCGCCATCCCCAGGCACACTGTAGATGGGTTCCTCTGTGTCTGGCATAGACTCTGCTGCAGTCAGCCTGCTGGTGTGATCCACATCCTCTCCCTCCTTTTTCCCATCCACAACTGTTTTAGCCCCTTCAGGCTTTCCAACTTCCTTTTTGGCTTCGCCAGGGAGAGGGGGAGGTGGTGGTGGAGGAGCCCCAGGTGGAACGTTAGGTGCAGATGGGGCCACCGTGCCCTCTGCAAAGGCAGGAGGAGGAGGTGGCAGAGTGCCTAAGATCTCCTGATCCACTGGACCTTCCACTGGAGGAGGGAACTCGGGAAGTGGTATGCACTCTTCCTCTGCATGGAAGCCTTCATCTACCTCTTCCTCAGTGGCGCCTGGGCCTCCAGTGTCAAGCAGTTCAAGGAATTCAGTAGCGACACGAGAAGCAGCTTTTTTCTGACGCAGGACCTCAGCATCACGCCGCAAGCGGAGTTCCTGTCTTGAGCTCTCACATAGCATAGACACACCGTCTTCCTTTTTCTTCTGTAGACGCTCAATCTCTCGCTCCAAACGCAGAATTTCCTCCATCTGACGGTGCTCCTCCTCAGATGAGTGTGGAGACTAAAGGAGAGAAGGAGAGGGGAATGATATAGAAACACTGGTTAGAGAAAAACAAAAATTACAAAAATGTTGACACCACCTGTCTGCAACTCTGACAGGTTTTTAGACTTGATGCCAGAAGGTTTAAAAAAAAAAAAAACTATTTGACAGGTAGACCGTACATAAACCCGTTTGTTTTGGAGGAGGAGTCTGAAGTTTTCATTAAAGGGGTCATATGATGCTTTTTTAAAGATCATTATTCTGTGTATTTGGTGTAACAGAATATGCTGACATGCTTTAATGTTCAAAAAACACATTATTTTTCAAATACTGTACATTATTGTAGGTCCTCTATGCCCCGCCTCTCTCAACGCTTCGTTTTCTACAAAGTCCCTCCTTCCGACAAGCGCAGTCTGCTCTGATTGGCCAGCTGACCCAGTGCATTGTGATTGGCCGAACACCAC